CTTTAATAAGGAAAATAAATCTGACCCTTCATCATACTGTTAAACCAGTAAATATAAACCCCACAAATGTAACCTCCAGTCCAATGTATCCAGATATTAAAGACTGTTGACGGATATAGAGGAGTTGTCAAAAAGAGGTCAGTTAAAATTTAATGTTGGCAGAAACGATTGTCTGCAAAAGTATGAACGATCTTCTAATGATGCTTTAAAACCTCAGCTCTGTCTTAACACTTACTGTTTATTCTGTCCTGAGAAAATACTTAAAAGCCATGAAACAATTTTAAGAAAACATTCATAAACAACTATTTTCTCTTGACAGACTATTTGGCTACAATTACAGATATTATGCCAAGACAATATATGTAATTCAGTGAATCCAGACAATATTGGATCAAATCAACAAATATTATTTTCCATCTCTTTGAAACTGAACATTCAAACCACCTGAACTTTCAATGTCATTTGGCACGTCAGAAAAAAACTTTATAAAATACAAGCAGGCCTGAAAACCTATACTTAATTTCTGAGTAACCACCTGACCTTTCACAGAAGGATCTCGCAAACAAGATCTTCAAGAGCATTGTATAAAACATCAATGTTTTTAACCAGCATTGTTAAAGGCATGCTTATATTGAAGTTTTATTTAAATTCCTGCACATTTCTGTAATTTTTGAAGTCCCACATTTTGTCAAGGGAGATGATCTGCCTTAACCTGAGTTCTGCCAAAAATGACTGACTCCATGTATAACATCTGTTCAAAGTTTCAGGTGATGGTTCAGGAGATGGTTAAAGAGAGGTATATGATGATGAGTTTAAAGAAAAGTGATGACCAATCTTCATTTTGGTGTCTAGAGTTCATTTTCTGTTGCTCATTCACATGCTCTGACTATGTGTTTCCAAAAATGCTCACTCACCATTGTTTCTTAAAGACATACAGCATAAAGCTCTAGTAATTTTTCACCAGGTCCTGATTGAAAGCAGGATTCATAACAGCTGAGGCAAGACAAATGATATACCTAATCAAGTGAACAGAATTACAAATCAGCTATTTTATTTCTCTTTGCTGTCCATCGATAGCCAACCAACCAGTTTGACAGGGATTGCAGTGGTCACTTTGGTCAACAAAGGTTTGGTCTTCCACAGGGTAGTTCCTCTGGCTGCCACGATAAGTGAGCAAAGCGGTGAAATGTGCTTTAGCGCTGAGAAAAATGTATAATTAATTGAGCTCATACAATTTCTTTAAGTATTTTGATAGATTAAGGCCAAAGCATTTACAGAAGCAAACTTTGAAGCATGCTAGGAAAAAATGCTAGTCGTATTTTGAGTAACATGCATCAGTAAAGATTAATGAAGAATCTCACAAACTTGCTTTATCTGTTGCAGAGACTGTCACAATTGACTAGAAATTCAATAGCTGTCCCCAAGAACGATGATCTTCTTGCAGGGGTGAAAAATGCATGTGTTTTGTTAATCTATATTTAGCTTGAGTATATTTAATACTTTGCCATATTCATTAGTCCTTACTGAAATTTTTGTGCCTCTCCGACTCCCTTCCACATCTTCAGGTACCACTCTATACTGCGCATCAGGTCGCAAGCTGACCTTATCCGGCTACCGTGTGGTCTTTCCCTCTTTGCGTTCCCATATCTATACTGTATTTTCTCTTACCAGGCACAGACGATGATATTAAACCATCAGCTTAAAATTACTGTTGAGCCAAAGGAACACCCTTCTCCAAAAATCAATGCTGAATCAAATTTATGTCTTTCTCTTGCTTAAAAACCAGCAACAACTGCAGTCCTTATTCTCCTGAGGATATTATTAATTGTACATCTAAAGCATGTTCGTAGTCTGTGTTTACTCTTGGGCGATTCTAAGGTTTATATGAACGAGAAAAGAGGAATGTGATCATTTACAAGTAAAATAATATTTTCACTGTCTTGGTACCTGAGCGTAATGAAAGGAAAAACCAGTCAGCTTTTACAGGGGTTTCTGTTTAGAAGCATCAGCTCAGGGGGTACAAGGTCATTGGGAAAAAGCTAAGAGACTCAAAAGCCAAGGAGAGGTACTGCCTAAACAATTTTTTTTGCTTTTTTTGGTGGAGGTTATATAGGTCTTTTTCTTCTTACCTCCCATAACCTCAGCAATGACTTAGAAACCATCACAGCAACAACTAGGGGCAAAAGAGATCAAGTAGTTGAAATAATGACCATATAAGAGCGAGAAGGCAGCCAGAGGAATTTGAGTGTCGGTCATCACTGGCAAAAATCCATTTATATGGCTCGGAAATTCTTCCCACCTACGGAAAGCAAAGGACTGATAACTGCTGGGAGTATGCTGTCAGGGTGCAGACAGCACTTCCTCTAGGAAGAAACTCTCCTGCAGAGATACAAGCAACATTTTACTGAATGTTATTTTTCCCCCATTCTTCATTTCCTATTCCTAATAGTTATTTTTATGTAATAACAGGTAATTCTTTCATACTACAGCTCGTGATGCATATTAATTAGGGTTCTTGCCAAATTAAATTGGTTTTTTCAACATTCAAAAAGCAGTTAAACTTCTAATGACATTTTCCCCCCTCTCTTCATCAACCTATTTTTGGAGCAAAATAATGTACTCAGGCCTGAAGTAAAGACACTTGAGCCTCAGGAATGGAAAACAGCCACGAGCCAAAATGTATTCACAGGAGAGCTACAGGGCAATAAGGTTGTCATCTATGCACAAAAATACTTTCAAAGACGTAAACATGATGTTAAAATCTCTACCACTCCCTCCTGCATGTTAAAGTCACACACACTGATTCGTGCTTGCAGTTATGAACAGGAAAAAAGGAAACAAGTCTATTTTTATTATTATTGCTACTATTGTAGCATTAGGACAGTCCAGAAACAGGGACTCATGTCAAAAACATATCCTTAATAATCCTGGTTTTCTTTATTACTGCTAGTATCAGAAATTAGAATTGTAAAAAAGGCATACTAGTAGTATAAATAGAAAGTCAAACCAGAGCTGCACATTAATGCTAGGTACCAACCGTGCCTTCCATATCAGGAAATCTACCTGGACATCTAATATAGTACAGATTAAAATAGATATATAGATACGCAGGTATATATAATATACTGAAGTGTTTTAAAGTCAAGCAACTACAGTTAGGCTGTCCATAAAAATAAGACATTTCAACACAAATGGTCCATATGTGGCACAGCTGCAAATGATTGAAAACCAATTCTTAAATCAGTAAGTAATAACTAAGTATTTTAAAATGCTAGTTGAACTACCTTCTCACACAAAATTTACTATATAATACCATATTGTCATTATAAATATAGCTTATAATGCCCATCAAGGTACTCAATACCTAGTAAATTCAATGCTAAAGGAACATTAATATTTCACACCATATTTGCCTGCCTTAAATAATACTACGACTTAAAAGCATTTGAGAGACTGGACAAAAAATTACCTAGGAATGTTTTTGGTTTTTCCCCTGCTTTGTACTGCATGAAGTCAGTTAATCAGCCTCAAATATTTTCCTTTTTATAACCCAATAGCCTAATTTGCATAGAACTCATACAGCAATAGAAAAGCATTTTTATAAAATTAGAAAATGACTGTATAACCACAAAGCTCATTTCTGCAGAAAACACAGATTTCTTTTTTTAAGTTGATAATATTTCAAGTGGAAAACATTCCATTAACTGAAAATTTATTCCAGGCTAGAAATATTATTATCCATTAGGTTAACCTAGTGCTGAAAAGTTTTAAGTAAAACAAGATTTGAAATTGCGTATGTGGCAATTTATTTTTTTTTACTGCAGAAAATCGAGTCATAAACATTTAAGATAGATGAAAATCTAAGATGTCTACCACTGAATGTTTATAAAAACAGGGTCAAATAGATACATGGTCCAGCTAGGATTGTCCAGCTGGACAAAATCTCAAAGCGTTTACAGTGACTTTAGGATATCTGCTTAGCAGGAATCATGCAAAATGCAAGCCAGCTCTGGTCCTAAAATTGAAGTAAGGATTCCAGCAAGGGAAAGAACCTACCAGCAGGCCTTTATTCTTATCTCGAACTTTTTCCTTTGGCAGTCAGAATAACCAGCATGTGTTAAAGATCTAGAGTTGCTTTTCCCTGAACTTATGTTTATTTTCTTCAACCATGCATCCTGCGAATATCACTCATCTGGATCTGAATCACCGCCACATCAGTATCATTTCATGGTTACACCATTATGGCCTCAAATCTCACCAAAATGCCCATTCCCAAAACAGCTCACAAACATCTTGATCTAAGAAGCAAATCACATCTTTATGCTCTGCTCCCCTGATAACAGGGACTCGATCCCCACCCCCAGATGGGGCACGGAAGACCATTTCTAGGTAAAAAGCGAGTACCACATGTTCTCATACCCAGCACTCTCCAAGCAGCACAACCCTATTTCACGCCGCTTCTCCAAGTCACCATGCACCTGAAAAAGCTGGCAGCACTGGCCAGCTGACCAGCTGCATCTACGTGCTGCTGTGCATTCCCTTTGTCCATTTAACATAGCAACTTTTTGTCTCAGCTCTCAGACCTAAAGCCAGAAGCTTTTCAGAGAGGGCAGTGTTATACACGTCTGTATGTTCAGTGGCAACCGCCCAGGCGGGGTTAAGGTAAAGACAATAAGGCTGAACTTCCTTGGGATCTTTTCCAGTATCTTTCTGAGGCAGATTGCTAAACAAGATACAGTATAAAAAAAAAAAAAGTGAAAATGTTGTTTTTATCCACTGCATATCTCCTGATGATATTAGTATCAACTTTCAAATCTCTCCATGTTACAATCATTTTAAGTAGGGTTGCAAACAAGGGGTGGGTTTTTTTTTTTGTGATCAGGATACATAAAGTTTTCCTGACATTACTTCAAGCATTCCTCTAAATGTCAGCATCTACAGCTTTGACAAGATTTGTTATCTTAAAGGAAAAAAACCCCATAAATACAGGGCAGGATTACCTTCCCTTAGACGCTCAACCACAAAAGTGAATCCAGTCGTTCGCGGATGTAAGACATACTCGTATTTTTGAAGTCCATTCTTTTCAGCAAATTCATTACTGCGGGCCTTGGTATTGGCTGGAGAAGAGAATAAAAAGCAACACTTCCTATTAGTGCACATGTAGACCAAGAATTAAATATAGCTATTAAGTGACAGGAACAGTACAACAGCAGTTCACACAGTACGAATGTGCAACAGCTTTTTGGGTGGAGGCAGGCTGCAAGTGTGCTTTCAGTTGGCTCTTGGATGGTATGAGGAAGAGCAATGTGGATTGCAAGAAAAGCCTTTTTTACCCCCTCATTTCATTTTAGAAAACTATCAGCACATCCTTCATATTTATCAAATGCAATCTGAAATCTATAAATTAAAGTCTGTTAATAGTTCTCTGTACATGTCAATACGAATTTTACAGTAAAATGTGTTAATTGGCTCATTTTTTTTTTTTTAAAATCAAAAGGTACAATGTATAGTAACGTAGGTTTGATGTTATGAACAGAAACACCAAAGGTCAATGTTTAACTCCATTAAACTTATCTTGGAAAGAAAACCTTAAATGGAGGAAAATGGTTAATCTAATACATTAAAATGGTATTTTACATCTTCATTCTGAGCTTGACACGTTTTATTCATCGACCTGCACTGCGCGTACACTCCCTGGTTTAATTTTTCGACAAACTGCCTCAGTGTCACAACACATGCCCGCTACCATATGCAGAGTACACGCAAGGCACCTGGAGAGCAGCGTGGCTAAACCCTGTGACAAATATGTTTTGAAGCTCTGGCAAAAAGAAGCCTCTCATGAGAAAACCGAACAAAGGTTTTTCAGAGCCAGTTGCTAACAGAGCCCACAAAGCAAGGAAGATGCAGACACTAAAGTGAAAACTTCTGAAGACAGGCAGAGAGGAAGTAATTTGTTCTCCAGTGATGTGCCAGAGGCTCTTCAGTTCGCAGCCAAACGGACTTTGGCCACGCTTAACCCAACACTGTGGGTACTGCTGTGCCTCCCCTGGGGCCAAAAGGCAATGGATACATGCAATGTTCCCTTGGCGTGGAAAAGAATTAATTTGATCAACTAACTTACTAAATAACTCATATTTATGTAGTTTTACAAGTGTTTTAAGAGACAAAATCCCAGCAACATATCTATGGAACAAAATAATTGTCTGCATCATCTTTTTCAAGCAGAAACAGCTCTTTTTTTAAGTGTCCACAGTTAAAACCTTAACAGAGATGGGAGATAAAGTAATGAAAAACATATTGCTGCTTAATATTTTAACAGAATTGATACTTATAAGTAAGTCCTTTCCCTTACAATCATCATAACTTTTCCTGTAAAGGAACAATAGCACAAGTGAACAGATCAGCAGTAGTATGAGATACCCTTCTTGCAGCAATGCAGCTTCCCTGCATCTTTCTTTTTTTTCCTAAATTATGAGCTCTTTGATTATCAAGTAATGTGGGTGTCCTTCCTAAAAAGGACCATCTACCTATTAATAAATGCTATAGCATATCAGAACACTGAGCATTTTTTCCCTGTGACCTATTGTTTCCATGCATAAGAGTACTGCTTTCCATGCATGCAACCATTAAGTTTCAGCGCACATATTTCCTGACCACGTGATTTGGAGGAAAGGAAAACCGTTGCACAGTAGCCAAGCCAGTGATTCAGCAAAGAGAATCCAAAGATTTAATTCTTGCCAAATTGCCAAAACGTACAAATACTTGAAAACATGACATCTTCAAAAAGCATTGCTAAAATTACAGAATGTGTGAAATACTAAAATTACACTTGGCTATGTGACTTAAATTTATCTTTCCTTGGACATATGCATTATGTCTTTAACCACATGATCAGAGTAACTATTTTTGTCCGCTCAACTACTACTACATACAATGTTAAAAAAGGATTATTCTGAATCAGCAAAGGGAACTTGCCTTTAGGACCCCTACCTCTGTGAATGCAAAACTTGCAAAGTGAGTCATGAGTAAGACTTGGAATAGCAGAAAAGGTAAGAGTAGTCTGGTGATTATGAAATGCTCCCTTGAAAAGCAGGATTCTACCTCTTAGATGTAATTGTATTGCACTATTAGCTCAACACCCTAAACTCTTTATTTTCTAAGACACAACACGGATCACCAAGTAAAAAGTACACAAGTCAAGACAAGTGTCATCTTCATTTTCTGCACATCCAAATTTGGGGTTCACATTGGAACATTTGCAATCTGCAAATCTAGTCAATCAAAGCTTTGAGACACAAGTGCTGTAAGTGTCTACCTGAAGTTAAGCAGTCTAAAAAAATACTAAATCTAAGTCTTAAGCGTCTCAAACTCAAACTGCACACAGTTAACAAGCACTCGGGAAAACCCTCTCCATGTCTGCTCACTAGCACTTTGTTTCAGAGAAAGCATGAAAATGAATTCCTTGGTATTTGCAAAGCACTCCTACTTGCACCACAAGAAAACCAAAACGTAAACGGGCAGCTTTGTTTTCTGAGCAAGACCTAATTGACGTTGCAAAAAAGGTTTGGGACCTCCGCTGCCCACTGCCTTGAAGTAATCACCTTCAAACCTCCTCTTAGTGCACCTCCCCGCACTTGGAAAGAACTCCTTGTAAGCATCTGTAAAACATCTTCCAAATTTCCCTTTACTACAATGCCTTTCTAAATGCATGTGAACAGCTGGACATTGGCACACCAGCAAACACTAGTCAGCTATTTCCTGATATTTGTATCCCTGTCTTGCCTCTGGACTGGAAGTTTTATGTAACAGAGATCATTCCCTTCCCCTTTACATGACCCTAGTGTAATGGGATTTTACAACTAGAATAATGCTCCCAGCCAATACAATGATCGCTGTCATCTGGAAAAACCCTCTCTCTTCCCTTCCTAACAGCTATCAAACCACAGGTCTTTATACATGAAACAATATTTATTACAGCAAGTCAAGAAAGTCAAAGGGTTTTGATGCTATCCTGGAAGCAAGGGTAGGAGATGCCTTCACTCTGCCAAAAATAAAGAATAATGCCCTTCCTCCCCCTCCTGCTCCTCTCAGCATTTGAAGAAAACAGTTTCCTACTCTTCTGTTACTTACGAACCACTGCACTGACTGCCAGCTTATCTCATGTGAGCACCTTGGTCCCTGCTGCTGTTAGGGATCTGTGTGTGAGACACCTGTGCCTAAACCTTCTCAGGGAAATTCAGAGCAAGTCTCCTGATCAGAACTGAATTCAACAAAAGGCAGAAAATGGGACGTCCCCCATTATATGAAACCTAGAAGTTAGAAAACTGATCCAGGAAATTAGAAACCCATTTTTATATCCTCTCCAACCTGAGGGTATTCACACAGCAAGGACCTCTTTTAAAATCCCTTCATCAATAGACCGGGCTATACTATCGATGCTGCAAAACTTATGCAGATGCCTCATCATTCTGCAGCCCAGATGATAACATTCTTAGGTGAAAGAATAAAGAAAAATGAAAGATGCCTTTGTAAGCCTGATAGTGAAAACACTTCCTCAAAAAGGGGAAACATAGGTTATCTTCTTTGCCTACAACCAACTAACACAAATTGCACAAAGCAGGTCTTGAAGCAGGGACTGGAAATGAACTCAGTTTGGGTCTCCTCAGTCCCAAAAGGTTGTTCACATCATTTGGCTAAGGGTAATGCCCCCTCTTTCTTACTCTCTCTGAAAAATATGAGTAATCATTGCTTTCTAGAAACAAGTATTTTCTTTCTTACACTGTATTTATGTTAAAGTAAATCTACTCCCGGAGTTTTTGCTCATCATTCCTACTAGGTGTATTCTGCGTTTTAACTCCCTGGTACTATTTGCTCCCATGATAAAAAAGAAAAAGCAGAATAATTATTTTTCTGGAAAGTAGCCAGTTTATTAATAGACACTGATGTGGGCCCTTTCATCATCCAGAACTGCTTCACGCTCTGTCTCGTCTGGTCTTGCACTGATTTGCCTCTTCTTCCCTGGCTCCTTCAGCTGCTTCTCAGAGGGTATGTTCTTTGGGGTGGTGACAACTATAAGAAGTCTAATTTATTTGAATCTTTAGACACCACTGCAGAGCAATTGTCAAACTACAGAAAAGAACAAGAGTTTACGGGTTCTGGCCATAACATCTTACTTTTTTTTTTGCTCCTGTGCTGCCTTTGGTACATCATTTGATTGCATTTTTTCCCATTTATCTCAAAGTTACGTGAGCAAATCCTATTTATAACATTTTTAAATTACTGGAAAAGCTCAGAAAAGTCATCACTTTCTAGAAGCACCACACTTCGAAATTTCATTTAATGTAACTGGAGGAAGAAATCATGCTAACACATTTACTTGATTTTTGAGTTACAGATTTTTAAGATTTAAGCTTTTGCTCATGAAAACCAGAGGATAAAGTGAACAAATTCAACTTTTTTTTAAAAGTCAAATTATATTTTTCATTTGTGAGCTAGTTTTGAATCAAAACTAAAATCTCTAGAATTTGACTTTGATGAAAGCCATAGCGTAGTAACAAGCTGCATTCGTGTGAGTCTGGAGAGTATTTGGAAGTAAAACTCCAAGACCTGTACCCAACAAAAAGCAAAGTCTGTGCTCTCCATGAAATATGTATGCAGTACTAGCTCCTCTCAAACAAACAAGTTCCCATGCTTCTATAGATTCAGCATTGCCCAGGCTGATGTGTTTTGCTGGACATCACCCCAAAGAATTATAAACCTCCCCCCATCATCCTACTGGAAAGTTCATTCTGACAACTTTAATACAACTATTTCTTATCAACTCTCAACTATTTTTTTTTTTTTGCTAGTACTAGTGCACTGAAATTTTAACATTAAGTACTAACTTTTCCTTTAATTTGACTTGTGATAAAAGCATACATGTACCTCTATGACTTCAAGTGCTCTCAAATGATATTGGTGCCAGACAGTGAAAGAATAAACCAGTACTCTAAAAATCTCTCTTTAAAACAAATATAAATCCTCATTTATCTATCAGAGGTTTGCATAGAAAGCTATATTGGCTCACAGTTAATATTTTAAGAAAAAGTTAAGCAATTGTTCTTATTTGTGCTGCTTTCAAACTATTACCTGTTAAATCACCCCATACTAGTTCTTTTGAAAAAAATTTTTTGCACTCCCAAAGTACATCACATTTACTAGGAAAGAGAAAAATCCGACTGCAGTTCATTGTTATGTTCTAGACAGAATATTGTATGTGATCCACATCACAACGTCCCTGCCAAAACCTGGGCTCTAGCAAGCTTTCCTACTTGTTTTTCAGCTGCTCCTCAAGGAAAAAAGGTCTGTGCAATCTCACTCTGTCCACCTGTGCCCCATAACTTTTGAAGCTATTGCCACCTGCAAACAAAGTTTAACAGAGACAAGAGATTCAAAGACAATTAAGCTGAGGCTGAATAAAGTGGGGTCTCCAAGAACAGAGATCATAATAACGGGACAAGCCAGGGCAGGCTCCACAGGTATTTGGTCTGTCAGGGCTTTCAGCACAGCATGCAGCGGTCCGTCGGTTAACGCTAGTGTCGGTGAGGATGAGCCACAGCACACGATACCTCTTGCCACAGCAGCAAGAGATTTGTGAAGGAAATGTCACACAAAAGGAAACACAAGGAAAAAGGAGAAGTTGGAGTGGAGAAACAACCATGTATAGGGATGCAAGTACAGGGACACAGACACAAATCCATAGGAAATGAGGCTTTAACAGGCCCAGAGCAAGACAGTAACTTTTTTTTCTTATTGCTTTCTGAAGAATTACTACAAAAGAGTCTTGTAAGGAACACCAAGAAAAACAAAAGAACAAGCGAAATGGTGAGTTGTATTCCAGCTTTCCAGAAGCACTAGCCTTATGGTTGCTTTGTTTTCATTTCAGGGCTTCAGAAAGTCTGGCTATATGGTAATCTGCTTCTTTTTAAGCAATTACAATAAAATACCTTTGATGCACTTAGCTTTAACCTTGAAGTACTCCAGAGTGAAAAGATGGCCAACCTATCAGAAATAAGTATAGAATTATTACCTCAGACCCTACACAGCCAGTCTGCAAATACATTGTTCAGGGTTCATGACATTACTATTTTTAAAATTTAGTTACATAGCATCTTCCACTTCAGCATACTTCACCAACTTGAAGTCAGGCAGTGGCCGCCGTATATAGTCATACTTTACATTTCTTGGAAATCTTCTCAAATACATGAAAGCATTATACAATTTCTAATAAAGACGAGTAAATCTATCATTGTCACGCAGCCACTGAGAGGATAAAAAAAAAAAAAAAAAAAGAGATAGCACAGAGCCGCACAGCAATTCTGCTTTTCCATGAAGTACATGTAGAACGTTATTTTTCATTTTAAGCACCAGAAGAGTTTTGTTTTCAGAAGCAATTAGTAGTTCTGGAATTTGAGCCATTGCCTCTATTTTTGCAAAATGTTCCCTAGGGTATTGATCAACCATTCAGAACAAAACTGCGGTTTAGTTCTTATTCTAAAAGATGGAACATGAGGTTGCAATAGGTCCTAATATGTCAATAACATAACAGTTTTCTGAAAATCATTTTTTCAAAATGTTACACAAAATACATTATTATGTTCTATCATTCTCATATGGCACAAACTTATTGCTTGGTCAGGATTAGCTTGTCAAGGGATTTTGCCCTGTCTCCAATAATATTTTAAAATATATGAGCTCATGTTTCCTGTGAAGACAATTAGATAGGGAGACTTATTTCCTTTCACAGACAAAGCCCCAGGGTTTTGCCTGTCTCTATACATCTTATTATGCACAAATGTAATATCAAGGTGGCATTCACTACTGATGGCAAGTTAGAGTGCTAAACACTGGCCAGTTTAACATGTCAGAAGCCAGCTCGGCTGCCCAATGAAGCAGTGCCATCTTCCCATCACACCACCTCCTTCCTGGGCCACTCAACAAATGAGAGGGAGATGATACCCACGCATCTGCGGGGGCTTAAAGTGACTTCAGAATATAGCTCAGTTAGTGCAGATATCCACTTGACATCGCAAAGATAAAGAGAACATGTTACACACCTATGAGGAAGGAAAACCAGAAAAACAGAAATACCTTAAAAAAAAAAATGTGTTCAGAAACCCAGTATTAAGTGAAGAATCTTGTCAGCATGAATTTTTCAGTGGGTAGTATCAACAGCATATACTTAAATTTAGTCAAAGTCATTTATATCAGTTAGAACAGCAGAGAGAAAACCCTGTGTTTCCTTAAGCAACTCCACATTTAGGGGGAGCATCCCCACCGCTGCCCTAGGGACTCTGCAGCACAAGTGTTAACACATCGTGGCTGTCTCAGTCCTCAGCTAATTCTTCATTTTTAAAACTGCAATACGAAACTTCCTCAGTTCTTTAAAATCTGTTGTCTCTGAGGAATGTTGTGAGGGATTAGGAAGTACACATAATTTATGGAATAAACTACAAACAATGCAATTCTTTCAATCATCTTGAGATGGAAACACCTGTTCAGAAAGAGAGCGTAAGCAATCCAGCGAGGATTCTCCTGACTCCATGAATAAGATAAAGATTTCATCTCATAACTCAGAGCTAGAAGGGGACAGCTGTTCATGAGTTCAAAGAAAAAAAAATTAAAGGTAATTTCCATCCTTCTTCCTAATTTTAGATACAAAATAACTAATTCAACAAGAGTTATCATGTGAAGCAGTCCAAGAGTGTACAATGAATCTGTCATCTTTTAGGAAGGCTGATCAAGCGATGACAATTCGCTACAGGTTGAGAGTATCTGAATACTTTACATGTCTATTTTTAAGGATATCATGAATATACAAGAAAAAATATCAGTAAATGTTATTTTTACACTGTGTCTAGTACTTACTGATCTGGCATTGCAATAAGATATGATTTGAGAATATCTGCAATGCAAAGTATAGCAAAGATCTTTTAAATAAAAGGTAAAAGTTTCGTTGTAATTGATTTTCTATTTAAAGATGATGCTTATCAAATCATGCTGCAGGCATGAATCAGCACAGAACATTCACACAGCGTTTTCTTTTATTGGCAATTGAGTTGTCTTCAACACTGGTTAGCAGTTTGCTACTGATGCCATGAGATACCTGTATTAAGGTGGACATTTTATTAAGAATTAATACTACAGGATCAAACTCATTAAATTTAGCCTCATCATAATGTCAACATTTGTTTTAAGGAGACATTTTTCTTACAGATGCAGATAAAGACTGCTTACACGGCCTAAGGAACAAGCATCTCTATTTTCTCCTCCTAAGACATGAGGCAAGGAGTCCAAAAGAATCATTAGTTCTCCTCTTCAATCATTCTTCCGTAGGTCTGTTTGCCGCAGTAATACAGGAAATGGGAACATGCACGTGATTTATTCAAGGTCTTGAAACCTACTTTTGCTAATGCAATGTACATACAGTACTGACCAATATAAAGCCTTTCAGTCAGGTGCTTTGAACTGTAAGTTATTTCAGGAAGACTGGCAAAGCCTCTCAGTGGAACTACATTTGTGCCTCTCAAATGAACCAGCACGTATGATCATTTACTATAATTTCTACTGCCCATGAGAACCCAGTCTTGGCTCCTGCCTTGGATGTTTTTTAACTATATCCATAAACAGCAAAGAATTTCCACATTGAAGATTCCACAAGAAGATGACAAAGGCAGCCTACCTGTGAGATCAGTTCCTTCTGGAAAGATGAGGAGTTGTAGTGGTTCACGAATGTCACAGAAATAATCCAGCATTTTTTCAAAGTGACTCTTGTCATCTTCCCACTTTCTCTGAATGAAAACAAAGGCAGCAACCTGCATCGCCCAGCCTAAAGTTTGAAAAATACACCTTTAGTAACATTTCACCCTGATACTTCCACCAGTGTCTGTTATTCCAAGATATTTTACGAATTGTGTTAGACCCAACATTTTATTTGCCCACCTGCCCTCACCTCTGATTAAGAGCATTTAGCTACCCCGTAAAAGGACTTTTGGATAGGAAGCAAAAGAATGCACAATCTAAATAAATTTGGAATGGCTACAGTTTTGCAAAACTCAAGTCACCAGAGCTAGAAAAGCTTTCCAGAGAGCAAGAAGAGGGTCAATGCTGTCAGGAAAGGACATTGTAAGGAGGTAGGTGTTTATTACATATGCCTTCTTATCATTTTCATTACTAACAGAAGAAAACACAAAGTTGTCCTTTACATTTGATAACAGAAAAACCTGATGTATATCCATTCATTTGCATTAATACACAAGACAGCTGTGAAGATCTACAGCCTGACAATGTAGCACAGTTAAATAAATGAAACTGCTGCTGAGCCTGCAGCTCCAGGGTCACATGCAATTATCTTCAATAAACATTCTTGGCTTTTTGGGCACAATTTAGTATACAGTGTATTATATAATATTGGAAGTTCTGTCCACAGCAGCATGAAAAATCAGGGCTCCAATTCCACCTCATGCCCGTGATGCTCCCTTCTCAAACAGGGCTCAGAGGAGCATGACATCGCCTTACCGCTGCACTCAGCTATCTTGTACCTCATCAGAAAACCTGCGCACAGATACACCACATCAAAGAGAAAACATCACCGCTTCCCCTTCTACGCTTTGCTCCCCACAGTTCTCATAGTCTGGTTTTCCTTTGCTGGTGACTTACAGCATGTTCTTCTTGTACTTTATTTCAGCTCCTCTTTACAGGGATTTCTTTCTGTTCTCTTTGTGGCAATATCTTACAAGGAGCATGTGTTAGAAAATCACTTATTAAAGTCACCAATTTTCAAATCAACTTCATGAATCAGTCAGCTTGGATAAGGCATTAACCAAGCTCCATAATCTCTTCTGTGTTGGTTAGGAATGTTAATTGTATTGTTAAAGATCTGTAACCTGGATCATGGTGTAGATACTTTTATTTTTAAATCAACAAACAGACAGAGCAGGCATAACCAACATGCCTTCTGCAATCTAGACCTAATCAGTCTCAGATAGTCAGATAAGGAATGATACCCAGATAACTGAATACTGCAAGTGGTTACATGAATTAAAATAAAAATAGAAATGCCCAGAATGCAGTCTCAGCAAATCTTTTCAAATTTGCGCACTGTACTTGTTAAAAACCCTCTGTAAACACAACTAAACTTCGACCCCAACATTTTATGTGCATAGATGCACATATCACATTCTGACATCTGCAGTGTCAAGAAGTATTGGCACTGCTTTACTAATAGAGGTTATCCATGCTCAAACAAATCATCTACAGGAAAAAATAAAGCTCAATTTTAAAGTAACTGAAAAATAACTTCTGTAATTTAACTACACTTTCTTCTGGCATTTAATAATCTCCAACTGCTACAATACATTTCACTACAATGGTGCAAAACAGTTATTTTAAATTTAACTAATCAGGGCTTAATTTGCACACTTGTCATTGGGTCATATAAAGAGGACATCTTTTCATACCAGATGTTGCCGAATACCAAACGGTGCCAAAGCATTTGTTTCCTATAGAAGATACATGGAAACGGTATGAAGCTGCGTCAGGGGAAAGTCAGACTGGGCATTAGGAAAAGGTGAAAGGATGATCGGTCACTGGAACAGGTGCCCCTGGAGAGTGGTCACAGCACCAGCCCTCTCAGAGTTCAAGAAGTGTCTGGACAACACTCTTAGTCATATGGTTTAGTCTTAGGTAGCCCTGCAAGGAACAGGGAGTTGGACTTGATGATCCTTATGGGCCCCTTCCAACTTGAGATATTCTGTGATTCTATACCTCATCTGAAATCAAATTCATACAAATGGGCACAGCAAAGGAAAAAAGCCCTCTAAGCAAGAGTCTGAGACACCTTGTACCATACCACTTACAACTCTGAGAATGCAGATGCTCCATGGGACAGAGTGGGAAAATACAAAGAGGTTAGGAAAGTTGTGCTGTTGTTTTGGTGTTTTCCAATCATTTTTACCTCTTAGTCCAGACCTTTTGTATGTTATATGTACCCTAGACACTGTGCCTAAATTAGTTTATGCAAAACTTGCACTGTGCTAAACCATTTTATTGTGTGGTATCACACATCAGGCCTGAATTATTCAGTCCTTGTGTTCTCATTGCAGCAGAGTCCATAGGCAGAAAGAAGGGAAACGATAAGCAAAATAAATGCTCGCTTGGGAAGCCTACTGATATTCTCCCAGGTCAGCAGCTCCTTAGGAAGAGTGATTTTGGTCCATAACAGAGGCACTGCAGAGAAAACCTCGCTACCAGATCCCACGCTCTCCCCTGCCTTTCTTTATGCAGCACAAGGCTTTAAATTATATGGAAACTTGCATATAAACCCTTTCTAGCAATCATTCTTTAACAGCACTGTGAACATCAAATTACAAACACCTGTAGCTGCTTGGGTAACTTGTATTTTACCTGACTAAGCTGTCTTAAAGCAGAGGATGCAGTGCAGTAGTTTCCCATTCCTGTTCTAAGTGGTGGTGTTATACCTGGGGTATGAAAAATTAAAGAGGCAGTAATGTAATGACAGTAGAGTGTCAGGGAGGAGGAAGAAGGAAAGATAAGGAAGGGAGTTGGGAGGCATCCAGTTTTTCAAATAAACAACAGGTTTGATTTTCTAACCTTTCCAATACGTAACACCCACTGCTCGGGAAGAATTTTTCTCTCTTTAAGTGTATATCTAATTGGATAAAACAGCCCTGACTGCTCAAATAAGAACAGATTATTAGTCAGGTAACTAACAGTAAAGGACCCAAGTTTTCCTCCCCACTTACCCCAGCACAGCACACTGCACCAAACTATTTTACCATCTATGAAAGTGGAAGAATCTTCCACGTTTGCTCAAGCTTTAAGGCCTCCAGTGAAAGGCAACAAAACACAAATTACTGCTTTCAACCAAAAACCTGGTCGGTGCACTGATGGGGGAGAATGCCTGCTGTTTACATGTCTCATCATCCCACCAGATTCAAGCGGGAGAGGAAACCCAGCATGGGCTTGCAGACACATGCCTTTGAACAAAACAAAGCAGCTCTCGCTTTGATTTCCATTCCACAGCGTGTCTGCATTGTGCTGCTGGAAAAACAACACGTAACAAATCCGAGGCATGATGTGGGATCCAAATGGGAATGCAGAGGGAAACAGGAGGAATTCAGTAAGGCAATGGGCCAAATGAAGGGTTTTGCTAATCAGCAAGACCTATGAATAAGCAGCAGAAGGAAGTACCTTCTCATGTGCAGCATGCAGTGAGACACACTGTTCAGTTAATTATCGTTATGTTTAGGTCAACGTATTGTTCAAAAATAGTAACAATATTTTGCTCTTTTTGCACAGCGTTTGTGGTTGTCTAAAAGCTCCTGAGCAACAGGAATTTCCTTAGCAAAGGCAGCATTTACTTGACTGTGGAAAAATGATTGCCTTTTGAGTCGCAAATTCTTGAGAAATCATCGATTACAAAAACACGGCAGCGAAACAGTGAAGCTAAAGAAATCATAACAATGCAACTCCATTTCTTTGCTAAAATAGCCTTCTTGTAGGAGCCACTGTTTCAGATAACTAACATTGCTTGGAAAAGTATACAAAAAGCAACACATTGCACAGCTCTTGTTCAAAATTGCAAAACAGCGGTGTAAAAAACTACTAGGTAGAGTAGCTAGCCACACTGACCTTCGCATCAACTTGTCAGAGCTGAAAAAATAAAAAAGGCAGCTTCAAATCTCAAGTAACACATACACGCTAATAATATATATTCTATCAGGACATTAATTCTACACAGAAAAAAAATATACTTACACAAAAAGGAAGGCCTGCTATTGAACTAGAGAAATGTGCTGTACATAAGAATTTCCTCACTGCCTTGGGGATAAAGCAAATTATAGCTTATGCATGTTGAGAGTTTGCAGCATTGTATTAAAAATGCTAGCTGCAAGTATAAAGCTTTTTAAATTCTAAGACCCTGCACTTCTATTTTCCTCACCCCAAAATACTTTAAAAGAAAATAACTCTTGAAGCTGAAATTTTTTAAGTGTGTTTTCATTGCAAAGGTAATTTGGGAGTAAGTAGAGAGGAGAGATGGAGGTGGCAATGAACAAAAGAGAGAAAGAGGCGAGTTGCGCAAAAAAAAAAAAAAAAAATCTTTGTTTGGTTTTGTACCACAATTTTATGTACATTGCTGTTAAGTATCTCAGAAATTAGACATCTCCAAAAATGACATTTCTGTGTAAGAGGAATATTATGGCTAATATTGAAAGCAAACATACTCACATCAATAAAATTGTATGTATGTATTTCCTATAGAAATGTAACAGAACAGCAAACAATACTAAACCCCCCTGCAAACAAATTAAATAAATGATTCAAAACTATAGAAACAAGTAGAAAGTACAAGGCCCAACTATGAGATTTTGTTATTATATTCATCCACCCTCCCTCTTTCCTTGGTCAAAAATAAAAGCATTATTCAGTGTGGCTGTATTCAACAGGGCTCCGGTCCTGATCAGAGCTTTTGAGGCAACAGGGAGCCTGACATCTAGGCTTAATAGGGAAATCACTCAGAAGCACATCATCTCACTGTATACAAATAACTGCATCCATTAACGGTTTGTTATCCCAAGTGTTTCGGTGCATAAAGTATCCAAAAGGCAACAACTACACAATTCTGAGTGTTCCTTATTTCAGAGACCTGTAGGTATTGAAAAGATGTTAGGACACAGAAAATCACACACACAGGCTTAAAGTTACTGCGTATATACAATGTTCAGTTTTCTTCAGTGTAGACTGCTAAACAGGTTTCTGCAAATTGAATTAGAATCAGACACTTTACTTTTTTTTTTTCTAGATTAC